AATTCATACAGGTAAAAATAAATAAATAAACTTATTAAGCCCCCTAACTCTTTTTTGTTCTTTTTCCTCCTCCGTCCTCCACACGAAGACAATGTCTCTCCCTTTATCTCTCTCTCTCTCTGTATTTCTGTCTGCGGCACTTCCATTCTTGCTCTTGTTACACTTTTCGAAGACCATTTTAAGGTCATCTATTATGTGGTTGAAGCAAATTTTGTATGAAAATTCGTTCATAAGTTCACATTAGGTTTTTCTACTTTTTACTCTCTACACTTAAACCACCCGATCCAATCCTGTAACTTCATCCACACCTGGATTTATGGCATAAAAAAGAACGATAAAAGTTTTAAAAATTTCCTTCTTATACAAAGTTATTTTTTAGTGTATACAGATAACTTTGCCTGAATAATTCCTTCTCTTCAAAACAACTAGGAAATATATCAACAATTCCTAGCATATACCTGTTTCTCTGATAGCTACGTCTAATGAATTCCTTCACAATCGACTTGTCACTTTACTCGTTCTCAACTAAAATTCGTTGCTAAGAACTGTTCTTAATGACTCAAGAGAGCGACATTCTATAAAGCACAGCATAGATAGTTGATACATTTATTTATATGACCTTACAAACTGATCTTCCTCAGCCGATGAGAGGTTGGTATAAGTCTTCGCTGCCGTTGTCGTTGTTATTGTCGTTGCGGTTGGTGTTGTTGGTCGATGGCTGACGTTTCGGCGATTTCTCCTTCATCAGTGCTGTTACGAGTGGAACTCGGAAAAGACCTGTACCAACCTCGCATCAGCTTAGGAAAATCAGTTTATAAGACCATATAAGCAAATATGTTCTTAATGTTACTACTTTACTTGTTACTTGTTAATGTTACTTAGTTACTAAAATGAGATTGCTGACAAATTTCCAGTTCTCAATAGCTAATGTTCCACTAATCTTGGCTCCATGCGATGCACTAACTCTGTAGAAAACCTCCGTAAGAAAACAAAAAAATGAAGACGATCAATGCCAAGATGTTGGGTAGGGTTGCACATGAAAAAAATCCTATAGCTTCGTATCGATTTTTCGTGAAAACTGTTCAAGACGAACATTTGTTACCTACAGTCTCACATTCAGTTGTCTCACAACACTTTCCGGCGATGTAACATTCGTTGTGATACTCGCCGCACATCAACACAAAGGCGAATCGCTCTCAAACGTATAACGTGTTTCCTGTTCATGTCAACGTAACTGGTTATTTTTTGCCTCACTAGAGAGTCCATATTTTACTTAACACACAATGCCCACAATAATCTTGTGATTATGTTAAGAGTTCTTTAAAATATACGAAAAAAGAAACAACCCTCTGTTTGCCATCAAAACTTTTTACTCTAGTCAATTATGTCTACTTTTAAAAGGTGAGGAACCTGTATCACCTCTATTCCTATTAACTATCGATCATTTCGAAAGGTCGCGTGAAAAGTTCCGTTCATCCTGCACTACGCCAAAGAGCTGCTCTATCAGTTTCACTTACTGTAAGGTCATTAAAAGGACCACACTTTCGGTATGATATCCTTTTTCATCGTCCTTGACAATGAAAGAACCGAATAACTCGGCATAGTTCTCCTTTGAATAGGTTGGTTAGGCTTCCAGATGGAATTTTAAGATCCTCGGTTTTGATGAGTCTAGCGAGGATATACTTATGGATCACTGTTGTCTTAAATGTGTTAAATGTTACTTAGACATTTCTATTTTTGAATGAAGCTTTATGCTAACCTCGTATTACCTGAATAATTCAGCGCGACTTTTTTAGACACTTGAACGGCCAGACTTCACACGTCTGGATCCCAGCACTCCTTCCATTCGTTTGGTTATTTTGGAATCGTCACCCTATTGCGCTAGACGACCACGTTTGTGGGTTTAGCTGTAACTGGAGGCTGTTCACTTTCCTACACTCGAAATGTATTCAAAAGTGACTTTCCTTCGAAACCCGAAGTAACCGAGTTAGGGAGTTCTCTCGTCGTCACCACAGGCACATTCTTGCGCTGGTGGATTGGAGAGAAATCTGCCGTGTTGAGAGTCGGTTTTTTCTAGAAGTCCTGTTGTGGTGAAACATCCTACAATTAGTTGACCGATCTATCGAAGATGAATGAGTTTGGTTTGCCTTGAACGTTGAGTCTAAATGTAAAAAAACAGCTTCAACTATAGTGCTTCCGTTCTCTTTTTCGAACGAATGGCAACAATAAATCGCTTCTCCCACGAAGTACTGTTTTTAAAAATGCACAGTTTTATTATAACTGGTTTACTGCTTTGTCTTCACAAACTTCACATAAGAAAATGAGCAACTCTATGCCCGACATTATTTCCTACCATGAGAAATAAAATGAAGCGCTTAAACTAGAAATCGAAAACCACTGATGTGCTTATTTTCATTTCGGAATGATTTTTCACACCTTAATCATAGTATCATCAATAACAATAGCTTTGAAGGCTTTACTGTTTGCTTAGAGAATAAACTCGAATAATGAAAAAATGAAATGAAAAATGGGAATAAGTCAAGACGGAGGGAGAAACGCGCGACCGACAGAAGTGGGGCGAAGTTGCATTCTAAATGTAAAATTAGTGCTTATAAACTGTTTCCATGACTTTATAAGAAAATATGAAAACATTAAAATGTTTACTTTTAATAATTTTTTAGTCTTACTGGAATATTGACATACACCGAGTTCTTCGCTGAACGAGCCTTTTTCACTTCACTCGCCCAATGAACTGTCAGAAAATCAAAATGTTAACTTTTTTATTTATTGCCTATTACATTTTTTAATGCCAGGGTATGACGTGTAATGCAACCACTATGATGCTGCGATATTTGCAAAGTTCCGCATCGCAGGTGTCTGCGTGGGGAACGAACGCGTTATTACCCTTTCCGTGGGCTAACGTGCTCACCACCACACCATGCGGGTCCTTCGTTCCGCCTGTCTCTCAGGAAGTTCTATCGAACAGTGCCACCAGCAGTCACCCGTCAACGTGGTTGATCTAAGGAGCCCAAATCGGCAACAAACCCAGTTAAGCTGAAACTGTCAGAAAATTATTTTTTGCAAGTTATTTTCGTAATAATTAAAGTATATAGTATTAAATACATGAAGACCACTGTAAATTTTTTAAACATTAGCTACTACAGTAGTTTCTATTTGACTCCATCATTTGATTGTTTGTGAACAAAAAGATACTTAGGCATTCAGAAGACTTAGATGTGATCGTCGTATCCAGGATAAAACTCTCTACTTCAAATCGTTCGCCATGGAAAAGCAGATCTTTCATTGACTTACTTCAAAAGTTAAGCGATCTCTCCTAATATCTCACGGGGATTCCAGCACTTCTTTCATCCGTTTGGTCGTCTTACCATAAACATCAGCACAAGATGGTTAGGTACGTTTTGAGGATCTTCTCCTCTCAGTGGAATGTTCGATACCACTACTTGAATCCATAAGATAACCAAGATAGAGCATGCCTACCTTGATTGAGGACGTGAGATGTTCCTCGACAAAACACTTCTAAAGCTTTCCTAGTTCTTCATCGAAAGCATTCATAAACGTTCGCGGTAAAGCGGCTTTGTTACCTTGCTGCTCGGATTCTTCGCCAACGAAAGCCGTTTCTATAATGCTGTCGATTCCCCTGAAAGTAGTTCAGTTCGTCGTTTAATTGAAAATTATATAAAAGATCGTGTAAACCAAAAACTGTTTTATAAAAAATTACTTCAGTCATTAACAACCGGTTTTACTATAGGCAGTCAATGTGATGGTATTGAGGAGAGGTATATTCCACAGACCTATCCAAGTTGATAAGGAGTTTTTTCATTCTTATTAGGCTTTTCTTTTCTATCATTCTTCAGAAACACCTTAAGAAATGCCGTTTGTTAACTGCCTGTTTATCTGCTATTCTCAATTTTTCTTGCACGTAATGATTCCATTTGCAAGTCGAACATGTAAAGTGACTTTGTAATCACTATTTTTTGTTTTAATAAGCTAACACGAAATTGTTATAAAAAATTTTTTTTACTGAGGGTAACGTTACAGCTCTTCACCTTCTCCAGAGCTGCAATGATTCGTTGCGATGTGGATTTTCGTTGTCGGTTGAATCCAGACCAATGGAGAGGATTAAATGAAGAATGCAGTAATAAAGAAACTTGACTCAACAGTGGCATCATATACAGCACTGTTCTTGACTGTGAAAATCGCAGCAAATAACTGAACACTCGACTCAAATCACTGCCATTCCAATGAAAGCGACTGTAGCAAGCCGTTAGCCACAATGGAAATTTTGTCGCAATCCCGTGTTAACCTATCAGTACAAGAATACACGCCGTTTAGTTTTTGATGATGTCCCTCCTGTGGTCCGGTTAGTTATCGAATGATTTCAGTTGGAACCTATAAAGGATCCACCACTGACCCTGTTGTGCACAACAGTTGCCCAGTGCATGCCATTGGCTAAAAGTACACGACAGGCATCATATTTTCCGCATGAAGTCCTTTTACAATGTATTTTTTGACGAGAAGGTTTCCACGGAAGAGTAATTGGTCGTGATGTCACGGAGTAGAATCTGGACGTTTGCGCTGTAGTTGGTTCCGAACCACATCATTATACTTCCTAGACACTTGATCATAAAATTTTTGCTTGTGGTATAATTCAGTGTTCAAATTAGTTGACTCAATAGAATGTTTGGATGGATAGGTCGACTTTAATGGAGCAAATGGCTTTGCATTGAGTGATCCCTCATCTTACCGCATTCTTTTCATCCGTTGGATTATAAAAGTGATTCAAGCAAATTTAAATGATTAAGTTGTCAGAATCTCACGGGACAGGTCCTTGTTCGAAGCACTTCTGGCTCACGTCTCATGCATTTCTCAATGAAAAACTATCGGAATAGATTTGTCATGTTCATGATAACGCGAAATATAAAGCTAATAAGTAACCAAATAAATAAGTAAGCAGAAAAATTACTTTTTCTTTTCAAGATATGAAAGAACTTTGGTTAAGACGAGGATGCGTATGGGTATGTGGCCATGTTGGTAAGGTTGCAGCTAGCTGGCCAAAAACAACGATTGTCTTCTGTTTGCTGACTACGGCGTTGTTTTCATTAAAAGCCGCACTCACACCGTAGGTAACCTTAATTTTCGTTTTATCAAAGGTAATTTTTTAAATACGAAGTGGTTTTCAGTCAAGTGAGTTCCATGGACGGTTTTTCTAGCACAAGTGCACGTTCCCGTTACGAATACAGGGTCTTTCAGGTACTTATTTATGGCGTTTTTTGCTTTGTTCGTTGTTTTTCGTACACCTGTCTTTTTTCCTTCATATTATTTCAAAAAGACTGTGGGCTTTTCAAATTACCGAAAAAATAAGATTTACAATAAGTTATGTGAACTGCCGATGGCCATTCCCAGTTATACGATTACTAGAAATGGAATGAATCGTTAGAATGCAAATGATAACTAGGAAGGCGTTGGTCAAACCCTCGTAAATGTGCTACCCATTCGACACCATTCTTAACATCACAGAGTTGGTAGAATGCGTATCCGACCTTTACGTGAATTACTGTGGCCTATGGATAACGATAGGATAACGATTTACCAAACTAGTATTAGAATTCTGGTGGACCTGGCTCGGCCGCGCCCCAGGTCCACCAGGACACTAATCCGTCCGTGGTCGAGAAATCGATATAACATTTGTCTGGGAAAAGTTATGTTTCTGAAATTAACGTGGGAACGCTCTAGTTCAGCTATATCGGAACTCTAGGAGAATCAGTATTCAGTGACGCTTATGACGAAAACAAAATCTTCAAGTGGAAGTCGAACCACGCACAAAAAAGATTTTCGCTCGGATAATGGATGCGAGAAGACAAATCGAATGCGAAGGATCCGCACAGTAGAAGTGGAAGCCGGGTTGTGTAAATAAATAAAAAATGAGCGTTAACATTCTAAATTCACATTTTAACATTTTAAACTTTTCCTTATTGCTCTCTCTATCTTTCTCTTTCTCTCCCTCGCTTTTTCTCTCTGTTTTCACCGCTTTTTCTCCTAGGAGTAATCTGCACAGACGATTTCCTTGTTTTTTCTTAAGGCCAAATTCACTATATTAACACAGACGAATTACTACCGTAGTAAACGACCGGAAGAATTCAGTATGACCGCAACTATACAGATAACTTGTTCCTTGTTGTTCTAAATAAGAGGAAGCTGATGAATTTGACGAATAATAGCTAAACAAGTTACTGATAAATAGACGGCGTCGGCGGGATTTTTTTCTTACAACCGATTACAACGTAGGCGTGGGCATAGTGAAGAAGTTAGAGGTGCGCCGTAATACACATATGGTCGTTGGCTCTATCTAGGACCCTAACAAAGGCCTCTTCAATCTGGCGTCGGAAACAGTCAGAGACGGAATCACTGTGATATAGGTCTTATAAATTTGCTAAAAAAAAAGACATTTAAAAGAAAACTATTGACTATGCTAATACACCTCGTAATAAAAGCAGCTCTTAAAGTTTCCGGAAACTGAAAAACGAAAACCAGTCTTGAGGATGGTTTCGTAAGCACGTCGACAGCATTTTGAGTTGAACATGGTTGGCTCATTTAGTAGAGTGCTGGTTTAACAGGATTTGACTCACAGGTAGCCAACGTTTTTATTTCGATCGTTTTTTTCCTGCTGCGCAAAATTATTCGGTTTTGCAATCAAAACCGTCCTTCAAGAGATGTTGATCCGGTGGTTTAATTTTGTTTACTTTTTTATGGATGAAATGATTCTACTTTTTCATAGGTGTGCACCAAATCCCGGTGTCAATCTACGTTACAGTAATCTCAAAAAGGCCTTTTCAAGTGTTTGTAAAAAGTAAAATCTAATGCTAAAGGTGTTTAAATCATTATTTTTCTTTAAATCTAAGTTCTGGTCAGCTATGGAAAAAACGAAACAGTTTCAGTTTAATGCTTTAACAATAAAGTTTATAAACAATGATAATCCATAAAGTTTTTGCGCCTTAGAGAGCAGAAACAAATTCTACTGCAAATCATGCAGTTATGTGCTAATTAGCTAGGCTTCATATGGCTTCATCGTAGAAAAAATGTTGCTCCGAGATGGTAGTTTCTTCATGAAGACTCCTTATCATGATCATATCGCATAACTCTTTCACGGCTATGCATCTTGATTTTCAATGCTCACCTTAAGTGCTCACCAATGACAGGCCGTCCGATGAGTTATCCATGCGCAAATGGATGGACTAAAACGATTAAACGCTTTGCATCATAACAACTATATAGTACACAGGCTTGGGAAAAATTGCTTCTCTTTCAATATTTTCGCGTAGATACACGACTTTTTGATCACTTAACACTTTCTTACCTTTTTGTGGTCAACTGATGGCTTGTCGAAGGCAGATTTCATACTGGGGGTGGTCCATGGATAGGTATTCTCAGCCATACTTCCAAAAGGTCGTTTGCACGGTTCAATGAAAACGATGGATACAAAAAACATGAATAAGGCACAAATACACTTCAATTATCATAAAAACCATGTGGAAAGCTAATAACATCATTGTTAGATAATGGACGATTTTTTTTCACTACATGCAAGAGTAAGATCACGGGCAAGATGTCCAAAACATTAGAACATACATAGTATAATGTAGCACTTATGTAAAACTCAGAGCGGTACGGAAAAAATGTGACGGGAGAGGACAAGAGAGCGATAGTCTCAAGAAAACCGCGCGTCGTGCACCTAGCTGGGACTTAAGGACAATACATCTTCATGCCAATGCGCATCTCATTTGCACTCCAATGACACACTGTCGTGAAAGGGATAAGGATAACATGAATTATTACTATTGTAATCATGTGGAAATCATGTGAATTATTTTGGCTATAATATTTACTGTCATTAATTTTTAGGAGTTTCTGAATGCCGACGGACAAGGTATAACGTTGTTTTTGATGTTAAAAGCCAGAGACAATCAATCAATGATTCGATTCGAATACTTGCGAGAAGCAACACAGGTTAAAATTCGTTTAGTACTGATATTATCTCTGAAAATAGTTGTAGGCAGAGATGTTGACATGTTGATGGAAAGCCTGAGCAAAAAAGGAAACCTTTAAAGAAAGCAAAAAAATCTTACCGAAGAGCATAGTTCTTCCTACATATGATTGACACGGTAGTCTTTGTTTTTAGCCGTTATCATTTCGAAAATCGATTAAAAAATTGAAAATTTTCTACTTTGCTTTTTAGATTCTGGATATAGTCTCGTCACGATTTCTAATGCATGATTCTGAGACGAGAACAGATCAATCATTTAAGGAGTTTTGTAGTGGTTTTTGTCTGGTTAACGAGCCAGTATGGCAGTTCTACGTAAGTGAAAATTATTTTCTTCCGAAACGTTCATCCTTCGAAAAAAAAAAGCTCTGGTAAAAGCACTACAATTCTTCGTTACAGAATGGTATGCGTGCATTGCAAGGTAACACCAGTGCAGAACTGGAAAAGCGAATCAGTTTAACATATCCGACATCGGAAATTTTCTCGACAAAATTTAGTCTTCTGGTGAGATTAGAAAATTGTATTTCTTATGTTTTCTATGTAGCGGAACGTATAGGGTAGTATTTAGGACTGCAGTCTATTAAATATAGGGTTTACGGTTCCATCCCGCTCCGGGCAAATCTTATCCTCCATCGTTCTGGTGTCTGTAAATTGGCGCCAGACTTGTACTGGAGGATGAAAAGGATACATGAAAACGATAGTCGATACGTTAGAAGACCATCATAAGTCAGTGTATCGGTGGAACGTGCATCCATTCACCCCTGCGATGTTACGAATGGACTCGCACATGCGCACCGCGAAGGGTTTTATAAACATCATGCAATCTATCCTCCGAATTTTCTATATCGTCTGGTCACACTAAACACATGTGAATCATATGTGTCTCATACTGTCTACGTTTGAACGAATGATAAATTTTCTATACAGATTTGTCAATTCTTCACATTTTTCAACACTTCACGTCTTAGTAACATGGAAAATTCTAATATTAATGGTTGATTAAGGCTGAGTCACCGTAAAAATTTATCTTAAAGGCATCTTCATGGAGTGCTGATAGGTATCGATTACAGTTGATAGTTTGTCCACGTGGTAAACTGACATCACGTGGAGGAGGTGGCAAAAAACGAAAGTGTTCAACGTCTTACCAACAAAAAAAATATGGCAAATGTTCACTATGCTTATGTAATATTTCTGAAACCCAATACGTTAACAGAGAGTACACCTTATTAAATGATATGGATAATGGGAAAACTGTAGCCGCTTTTCTTCCAATAGTACCACTTTCTATCGAATTTTCCCAGTTTTATTTTTCATTACCTTAACCGACCTATCGCTAACAAGTCTGGAAAGTCTTTTTTACAGCCGCATTTTTTTGGAGTTGAATTGAATGAAGACGGTGAAACTCTGAAAAGTGTTGGCCTTATCGCGTTACTATTTCGTGCCGAAAAACGTTCATCATGGACACCGGAAATGGTGAAAGAATGGGAGCTTAAAGTTGGCTATTTTTTCGCAAAGTAAGTTTAAATTTCCAAGTTTATGACCTTCTAGAAAACCGAGCGTATTAGGTTTTAACGAAGTTTTCTCTCCTATTTCTTTTCAGAGAATATAATCAAACGAAAATTCAAGTGAATGTTCTATCGACAGCAATCGTTGAACGCGGTTCGTTTCTAGTTCCCATTAAAAATCTTTATGTGTTTTTAACGTGAAGGAATGTTTATGGTCACTTTTAGAACAGTTAATTCTATTTCTATGATTATACATAATCTTATTTCATTCGTATTTTATATATGTGTATATTTGCAACTTTCGCTTTCCATGTTTATTTCACTAAGTTCTCCTTGATCCCTTATATCTCTTGTTAGCGACTCTATACATTCTTCCTTAACGCCGTTATAAGAAGAACTATCTTATTAGACTAATGTTTTTCTTTAATCCTGGCACAAACGTCACTTGTCGGTTTCACGGCAAGTGACTAAAGAATGTTTTAAAAACTAAATAGAAATTAACACCATAAGTAAGGGCGCGTGGCGCAGAGGTCAGAAGCGCCCTGCAATAAACACATGGAATCGAACATCGCGCCCATGACACCCATGACGCCATTGCCGTGGTAGGCAAATTGGTACCAGACTTGTCTGGGAGGGTAGTAACACTGGCTCGATACATCGGTAGGCCACCGCGACTCATTGCGAGGGTCAGATATGCATTCAATCCCCTCCAAACGACGCTTAGTGGAGTCAAGTGCATGGCACATCACTCAGGGATTGGTCAAGGCCGGAAGCTTTATCCTTTCATCGTTACTATAAATGATCGTTAAATATATGATGCAAAGTAATAAGTGATGGATAACGTTGGATGAATCAATAAAATAAGCAGCGATTCTAACAGTTTCATAACCAAATAGAACTTCAACTAAATAAACTGCAATGCTTTTTTGTTTATTTTTCAGATATCGTACGTTCTGGTGAATACCTTCAACCGTTTATACTTGTCGGATTTGTCATTATGTGCACATTTTGTGCTACAACGACAATCATAAGCTCAGTGGTTATGTTTCACCACAGGATCACATTTAATAAGGTAACCTGTCGGTTACCATTTGTTTTTAAAAATAAGTACTCCTGGAAAAAGGGACCTAAAAAGAAAGAGAAAAAATAAATTCTTTATGAAAGAAAACTTTTTCCGATACAAAGTAAAAGTGATCTAGGCGTTTTTTAAGGCTTTTTTTCTCGTCAAATCTTTCTATGGAGCATAAAAAACAAAAGAAAGAAAAAGGAGGAGTAAGAATTAAGAATGAATTGCTCTCATAATCATTCAGAAACCACTAGGAACAACTTAGAATGAAAAAATATATGAAAAAAATAAGACAAATACAAAACAACAAAGCAAACAACGAGAGCAATATTATCAAACAGTAGGAGTACTGTAGATGCTTTATCCAAATATATTTATAGGTTATTCTTGCTATTACTGCATGTATTGTGCCGTTTTTGGCTTGTGGAACTGCATTTGGTGTAATATTCCTATTTGGAGTGACTTTTTCACCGCTTCTGTGCATTACACCATTTCTCGTAAGTTTCTTTTTAGTTTTTTTTTTTTAAGATTCTCCTTGTGTTTTTCTATGTTTGAAAAAGAGCGAATGTTTGAAAGGGCAGTTATGTCGCTCATCAGTAATTCGGTACCGCTTCAACCCTGCCGCTTTCTCAACAAGCCGCTCAACCACTAGGAGTCGGGAACTTGGTAGCAGACTCATCTGACACCAGTCACACCGGCGAATCCACGTGGGAATCCCCTATCACGGCTATCTCAGGAATGCAGGAAGAATTGGCTCGATCAATATTCAACGTTATCCATAACGAAGACGAAAATCCTCCAGTTTCACTAGAACCTATGCGGGAAACTTTCAGGACGTTCGTGGACAGTAGACGTAGGAGATGAATCGGATGCAAGAAGTGCAGCGATCGCCAGATTTTTAAAAATTACTCATATAACGAAGTATATATGAAAGAACCATCAAACTCAAAAAGCCACTTCTCATTTACGAAATCGTTGAAGGAAAACATGCATTACCTTTTATATGAATAGGTATTGGCCAAATGTTAAACAAGACCTTGTTTGTTAGCAATGGTTCCTTTCTCTTACAAACAGCAATGGCTGTGCAAAAAGTACAACTACTAAAAAAAAGTACTGATGCCGTTCTTAAACAGAGGAAGTGCTGCTTGTACTATTATTACTGAAAGTACGAAGTGCCTGCCAAAAAGTGCTACTAGTAGAAGTAGTAAGTTGCTGCGCTTCAAGCAGACCAGCAAATCAGCGCGGGTCAACTGGATAGCAGGAGGGGTGGTGATGGCGGTCGCAGACGTGGAGCAATGAAGTCTGCACTAGTATCTAATGGCACCACTTGGTGATTAAAAGACGCTAAAGTGTTACAAATAAACTGAACAGTAAAATTTCAGGCTCTTATCAATAAAAGAATACATGTTAGCTTTGATTTAGGCATTGGCCATTAGTGTTGACGATGCCTTTCTTATGATTCATGCATGGAATCGAATTGAAAGTAATGACAATCAAAGTAAATGCACACGAGCAGAGAAAATCGCCCAGGTTTGTGATTTTGTTGAACGCACCTTTATTCTTTTTTTAAAAGTTTCTTATGCCAGAAAACTGTAAGAAACTTAGAACGCAATAATCAAGATTGATATGGGATCAGATTATCACCACCAACAACACAACAGTGGTGCATGGTGCCATTCTAATGACCATATAAGTCCTTTTCTCACCTTTTTGCTCATACTCCTTTCGTTTAATGCTCTTCTCACACGACTGCTCTTGTTCTATTTGAAGTGCTATTAATACCACATTACTTACTTACTTGATGCTTGAACGGCCCGTCCTCACTAGTTGTGGAGGCCCCAGCATAATCACCATTTTTCGGAAATTTGCTGGTTAAGCCATTGTGGTTCCCTGGAATCTCGAGGACATCCTGGCGAAAGTTTACCCCAGGTCGTCACCACGGCAGGCAGTCGCAGTCCTTGAGGGTCAGAGGAAGATTTGCCACCATGTGATTTTGATACGAGGACGGTAGTGGATCCTGGTACTGGTTTGCTCTTATCTTGGCTTCTTGTTCGAAACGCCGGAGTCAGCTTGGGAGACCCTGCCAGGGGATGGGTCCCCGCTGTACATCGCAGTCCGACACCCAGGAACGCCTCCCAGCCACGATGAGGCGGTGAACCATTGGGAGGGATACCACAGTTAATCCTATAATTACCATAAGCACTATTTCAACTTATTATTTACTGCCTACTCTTTTTAACGGCAAGGTATTCATTGTGAAATATAACTTCACCATAAGTACTGTTGCTAAAGCTTTAGGTACTATCAGAAACCGGACCTGCGATCGCCATATCGGCCATTACAAACGTACTGGCATTTGGATCCGGTGCGATTTCGTCTCCACCAGAAATTCGTATTTTCTGCATTGGTAACGCTGCTTGCATTTTCCTCGATATGTGCTATCAACGTTAGTTTTATTCACTGTTCTCTCCCTGTTTTCCTGTTTTCATTTATTTCCTTCTCTCATATTTTTTTGTTTTCTTTCACTGTTGTTTACTTTTTTCATTGCTTTCATTTTTCTTTTATTTCCTTTCTAATTTCCAAGAAAATTTCAGTCACCTTCTATGCAGCAGTCATGTCACTGTTTGCTGACTCTCCACAGTCATCAAACGAAAAAGAGGTATGTATATTTTCTCAGTATCACGATTTTATCGCTTCCTGATTATCACGATTTTTCGATTATCATGACTATTGCTGTTATTTTTGGAGGCAACTGAATGTTTATTATTGGACCACTTGTAGGGCAGTGATTAGAAATGTCCTGAAAAACATACGTGTCCCGACACTACTTTGAACTCGTACCTAGAGTAGACCTAACATGTCGTTCGTTCGGGATCAGCAGACCACTAAAAGGTTTCTATAGGAAAGTAAAAACATCGAGATGATACAATAGTAGGCAATAGAAAGTTATTGGTAAAGGCTAAATATGCATAAAGTAACTTTAAAGCTGAGCGGGATCGAATACACGGTGTACCAACCAGGGATTGATCAGCAGCAAACGCTCCATCTTTACTCTTTGCTACTGCGACTATAAATATTTAATTTTTTAATTTAATTTTTAATTTTCTAATTTTAATTTTTAATTTTTTTATTTTTAATTTTATTTTATTAATTTTTTTAATTTTTAATTTAATTTTTATTTATTTACATTTTCTTAGTTTACATATTATGCTGATCCCAGAGCTGCTCCCATTAGTTGGGTTGTCTCACATCAGTCATCCGGGCCCTTCCGATTTACATGCGAATTCGTCTGCTACTTAAAAACTTTTGTTCCCTACATAAATTTAGTTGAACGCTAGTCTAGTTGATTCTGCTGGAAAGCTGGAGATAGTTGAACCAGAGCGTCTTCACATCTTGATCACAGATTTTGATCTTTGTGAATTTGATGGAACTTTTGCCAAGCAAGTCTGCTACCAATTTTCGAACGTCGTAGGAATCGGAAGAAAAGTTGGATATGGCGGCGTCAAAGCAGCGACCATGTATGTATTGCAGGTTATGTATAACAAATTCGCTTTCCACCTGGAATTATTAATATTGTCTCTTCTAATTCACTTTTTCCAGAAATTCTGTTTGGCGCCCCGCCCATAAGCAGTGGGTAGAGGTGATGTACAATAGACAATGGATCGGTTGCTGCTTCTCTTTCGCGTTTAACGATCACTAAGCCTCTCTTCTCTGCGGATTAAAAATTGGTTGCAGAGTTGTCTGGAAAGATAAAAACCACGAAATTGATACACCGGCAGGCCGCTGCAAGTCATTTTATAGGCAAGACATACATTCAATCACCGTTACAATTTTGCTAATGGCACCGAATGCATGATCCCCTAGTACATAACGTCGTGGTCGACGGACGCGTGTGGGGCAGCGGTCGGAGTCGTCCGGCAAAACACACGTGGAATTGATCTCCATGCCTATTGCCAAACATTCCATCCCTCCAGGGTCGCAAATTGATACCAGACTTGTGTGGGAAGATGACAACACTGGCTCGATACATCGGTAGGCTACCGCGAGTCATTCTAAAGGCCGCATATGCATTCATTCACCTTCAAACGATGCTTAATGAAGTCGAATGCATGGTGCATCCCTCAGGAATTGATCAACTACCAGAGCTTTATCCTTTATCTTTTTAGTCCATTACTTCCTGCTTGTAGCTGCTCCAGTCGGATACGGGAAACTTCTCGTCGGCAGCGGTTTTCCTGGTTTTTTCACAGTGAAAAAATCCTGTTTTTTCAATCACTAGGATGTTTGTGGGGTTGTGAACACGACAGAATTGTAGAACAGACTTTGCTGCATCGCTATAACGGTACAAATGATATGTATATCCCTGTTTACTATGTGTTACCATGGTTCATCATCCAAACACGTTGATCTGAGCACCTGGAAAGTTTTTCATATCTGCACATTTTACACAATGACCATGGTGATTCAAGTGAAATGACATTTAATTGCTACTCAAATAACCAATCAGTGAATGACTATGAAAAAAAAAAGTTTTCATAAATCATAAGTGTAGAAAGCGGTTTCTGATCTCACTCGTACCATTCCGATCTGCTTTTGATTAGTTATTGAATAAATATACTTAGTGCATTAAAAGTCTCTTAAACCCACTGAACCAAATATGGACACATAACCATAATGATGCTAAGATACTTGCAAAACTTTGGACCGCTGGTGTCTGCTGTGGGGAACGAACACGCTAATACCCTTTCCCGAGTTTAAAGCCTTCACCACCACACCGTGCGAGACCCTCGCATCGTGTTTTCTCAGCTGTATTATTGACCTATACGTGCTATGTGGTGAACGCGTTAGACGCCGGAAAGGTATAGCGCGCTCGGTCTCCACCGCAGGCACCAGTGGTTCGTGGTTTTGCAAATATCTCAACATCGCTATAGTTAGATTTCACACGATACCGCTCCATAGAAAAAGAATAGGCAGTAAATGAAAAGTGACGACATCGAATATGGACACTATAGTGTCCATAGGGGCATTCTGAGCTAAGGGCTTGTTCAGCGCTAAGCGCTTCATTCTTTATCATTTTCGTCATTTTGGATTAATCAGAAACGGTTTTAGATGTCATCACGTTTAAAGCATGGCGCTGAAAAGTTTCTACGATGTTATACCAACGTCGTGGCCGATGCAAGAATGTCATTTATAGTAATTTTCGTATGGACTGTCTACGTTGCAGGAGCTATTGTGGTATTTGGATTACGTATTTATTAGAACATTTACTAACGCTCGATTTCGACCATCCGTGAAATTTCTTCGATTGTGTGTCGAATGGGAGCGTGTGGCGCAGTGATCGGAAGTGCGTGCAACACACACGTGGAGTCTACGATCCCAGCGCCTATGGCTCACCAAGCCTTCCATCCCTCCGGGGTGGACAAATTGGTTCCAGACCTGCCTGGAAGGATAGCAGCACTGGCTCGATACATCGGTAGCCAACCGCGAGTCATTGTAAAGGTCAAATATGCGTTCAATCACCTCCAAACGATGCTTAGTGAAGTCGAATGCATGGCTTAACCCTAAAGGATTGATCAACGCCGAGAGCATTAGAGCTTTTACAGCTCTGTGTGTCGAATATTCCATTCTTATTCTCGGAAATTTGACAGCATTCTACCAAATGTGAACGTTTCTTGTGTGGACCCGAAGTGTCCGATGTTCTAAACCCCATATCAATCAATGTTTTTTAAAGTTACTTTTAAAGCTACTTAATTTTTTAAAGCTTTTTGTTGTATCTTTTAAGGGCCTCTTTCATGTCAATATCGACCTGTCACCACAAAAGCTATTTTTACCCGATTCGAACGTAATTGAAGTAAGTTCCAAAGAATCCTTTCGTGACAGTTTCAGTGTAATGGATATTTTCGAACTTCTTAAAAAGTTAGCCACTCGTTTTTATTATTATGGATGTTCAGTCGAGTTTATTTACTTAACTAGTTTAAGATAAAAATCACTTCCCATTTCAGACCGATCGTATTCATAACACTTACGTCATTCCGTTCTACACACCTGCTACAGTCGTCGTCAACAATCCAGGAAATATCTCGGATCCTGATAATGTTCGTGAACTTTTCGCTGTAAAACGAGCATTTGAAAGTATTCCTGATGCTATTGGACCTGAAAGTACAAAATTCTTCTTAAGGTAAGCAGCTCAGTTCTAATCAATCTGATCATATGACTTAATCATGATAAAGTTATGGTATTTTTGGATATATTTAGGTTCGTTAGTTCGATTAGCTTGCCTTATCCATCCACAGGACAATAGTCTCTGAGAATATAGTTTGTAATCAAAGAAAATAAAATTGAAGAGCAGAAACAAGTTGTTCGACAGAATCAATAGAATAATTCACCAAAGCCCACCAACCAACATAGACCCCAGAGGTAGCCTGGTTGATGTTCCTCATGTAACAAAGTTTCATTTTCCAATTCGGAATTTTCTTTGCTTTACATTAAGAATGTTTCCTATCTGTACCAAAGAGTGAGTATTCGATACTTTCGACTTTCGTGACTTCATTGGAAGTCACGAAAAAGCGGCTCTGAAGAAGGCAATACTGCCGAAACGTCAGCTAGCGTTGTATTGTATTGCGGTTTTTTATGGAAGTAAATGTATGCTGTTTAAAAACCTCGCGATTGCTGAACAAGAAAACGACACTATTGGACTGGTTTGATACCAGGACGGTGGTGGATCCTATTATTGGTTTACTCTTAGCTAGGTTACCTGATGGAAGCGCCGGACTTCTTCTCAACTTGGGAGACCCTGCTGAGAGGATGAATCCCTTCACTGTACATCGCAGTCCAACACCCAGGAACACCTCCCAGCTACGATGTGGAGGTAAACCGTTGAGAGGTCTCATGGAATGTATTGAGTTAAATGCATCATTTGCTTTCTTTTCTTTGTGAATACGCTTTAATTCATCAAATTTGCTATGCTTAGCATTTGTTTCTTATTTTGACACTTGCTACAGAGAGTACCAATGTAAAGAGCAAAGAAATAGATATAGAAAAATATCGTTGAAAACTCACCGGCATATCGTTAAGTTGAAATGAGCGCTTAAAACCGTTATTGCTATCTCGAAACATCACCAAAGCATCAAAACTATCTGGAGGCATTCCTTTACTGTAAACGATAGGATTCTGGTCACTACTATAATTCTGTTCAATCACCCAACTTTTCCATTTCTTACTAAATGCATCAGATGTCGTCCGCAAGGACTTATTTATAAACTGCCACCAATGCGATACCAAAATTCTAAAGCTTATGTTGAAAATTAGGCAGTACAATGAGATTATGATGAAAAATGATGAGGTTTGATGATCCAGATTTTTAGCGACTACATTAAATATGAAGCGACCTTGACTAATGAGCTTGGTGATGAGGCCAGCAGTGTAATTTCAATCGATGATTTTTTAAAATGGCCAGAATACTCATACTGGAAAGGCTTTGTTAAGAGAGAGAACGAATCGATGTGAGTTTTGATTCACCTGATTCGATTTTTTATTTTTTTTTGTTTCTTTATTATCAAGTTATTTGTGCTACCTTATGGATTATATTAATGTAAAAAAATCTTTCTGAAGAGAAATAAATGTCGCTCTTGTGTTATAATTCACATCCTTCCTTTGATGGTCGAGTAACTTGAACAAGCACTAGTCTGGTGACATCGTCGTTAATCTTTCTACCTTACATCATCCCGTCTCAAGCTCTTCATACTCACCTTGGCCCACTCCGTATGCCTGTTCCGGAATTAAGAAAGTATAATACCTATTTATTTCACTCTGATTGCTGTTGATACCCACTGGTAAAGTGAGGAGCATTTGTGAATAGGTTGCATGTGCTAAAAGAGTCTACTCACTGTGGAATCCTAGAATATCTATGCTAGAGCGTTCTCGATCTTCATCACAAGCAGTCTCCAACTTCTGTGGATTGTCGGCAGCTACCATTTTTTGCTACCAATTTCCAGGGCACGGAGGAATGGGAGGCTTGGTTATCCCGAGACGAATCAGTGCCTTGTTGTTTTTTACCTACTAGAATATAGAAGGTATATGTCGAATCGGCGCAGCAGAAACATGGGGTCTATTACCTGGAGCCACCTGAACAAGGTCGCTTCGAGGCGGCCCTTACTAAGGAAATCCTAAGGAAAAGACAAATCAATCACTTATGTAAGCCTTAGGTATTCAACTTCATCTAGCAAGTAAAGTGGATGCATATTTAATTTATAGAAAGTTCTTGGAGCATACCAGTGTATCTATCCAGACAAATCTGGTACCTACTGGTTATAGCATAGGACCAGAGCTAAAACCTTCTGAAAAATGTGTATTTCAAGTTCAACAGTTTACTAAACGCACTCCATATGGCAAATATATTAATTGTAACTAAAAACTTTATTTGGTTATTGAGTGACGAATGATTTTTTAGTGGATCACAAGGTATTGCGCAATTTATATTCGTAACTGGATACCACGGTGCTCATTTGGCGTCGTGGAATGAACGTGCACGTCTTCTACGGAGCTGGCGGGAGCAAGTCGACCATTTTGCGAAGTAAGTCATATCAACATCACCTGTTGAGACAATCATGATGAAAAAGCAGTGGATGACGGCTGACATGGAGACGGAGTAGAGACTTGGTCGACATTGTGAATTTTCCAACTTGGAATAAAATGCTTTCTTGTAGGCGATTCAACTTGAGTGTTTTCACCGAAGACGGTTTCTACATCGATTTGCTCGAGGTACGACATTTAAGAAGTTACAGTAATATTTGAGCAAAACGACTACTCGCTCTTTAAGTATTCGCGAAGTTAACCAAAAAAAAAAACTTGTGGATTGCACGTTCCTTCTCCTTTTCTGTTCTACATTACTAGTAACATTAAGTGAATATTTAAGAATACTACCCGTAATGTGTCGTTTTCTTGTTCAGAAATCGCGAGGTTTTTAAACAGCATACATTTACTTCTATAGAAAAACACAATACAATACAACGCTAGCTGACGTCCCGGCAGTATCGCCTTCTTCAGAGCCTGGAAGGGTATACTGATATACAATCTATTAGGCCAAACGCTTCAATGACACTTACAAAAAGACGAAAGACTCTCTGGTAATTACATGATCAACAACTTCTCGAAAAAAACCCACCGCTTTTTTCGTGACTTCCAATGAGGAAGTTTAGAACAGCTGATTATAGTCGCCTGTGGTTGACGACTGCACCATCCCACATCATCCCACAAATCGATGCGAACATATGGGATCAGGTCGCGTATGACCTCCGGGCATTCATCCCTGATATTCATTGTAGGCTTTTTGGCATTTATCCAAAAAGCCTCTTAATCCAATAAAGTGTGTGGACCCAACCTTAATTCAATAAAGTGGGTGGACCTATCCGTAATTGCTGTGGATTGGTGTTCCGTATAAAAAATCTGTTAAGTTTACCCAGAACGAACTAAATTGCACTTCTTAAACTAATTATTTACTGCATACTCTTTGTAATGGCATGGTGTATTGCGAATTATAACTTCAGTGATGCTGAGATATTTGCAAAACTTTGGACCGTAGTTGTCTGAGGTGGGGACCGAACGCCCTCTGCGGATGATGGCGTTGTTCGATAGAATTAGCTGAGTGACAAGCGAAATGAAGGACCCGCATGTTGTGGTGGTGAACGCGTTAGCCTCCGGAAAGAGTAATAGCGCGTTCGTTCCCCACCGTCGACGCCGGCGGTTCGGAGTTTTGCAAATATCTCAGCCTCACTGAGGTTATAAATTGCGCTTTATTCCATTGAATTGCTTAAAACATTATGGTGGTGACCTTTCTTTCGTGAAAATATCCCATGAAAAGAAATTACCTTTGTCATTTATCCAGCTTATTAAATTATAGTATGAAGATTTTATTCCCTATGTAGTGCTGTGCAGTACCGAGACGCTAGGGTTTTCAGTCGATTCCGTCAATCACATGGCAATCTGCCTTGGCGACGTTCATCAGCGTTGTCGTTGTTTGTTCGCTTTTCATCAGCCATGCGGCCACCATTGTTTTTGTGGCAATGTCAGTCTTCGCCACCTGTATCGGTTCGTGTTTCTCATTTTATCAGTTTGTAGTTTACTTTCCATGTTATATTAGCCCTAGAACACTTCGTAGAAAAATGAACTTCATTGAATTCCACATAAGTTATTACAACTCTGATAAAGGATAAAAGATAAGGCGTTCATCGTGATTAATCCCTGAGAAAAACGTAATGCATTCGACTCCATTCGTGGCCTTGTAGAGACTGTTGAATGCATATTTGCTTATGGATTAACCTATTGGAGCCTTTCGATAAACCAAGTCCGTGTTTCTACCTTCTCTGACATTTTTGCTGACATGTTAGCGGCACCGGTGAACCGATGGGGTAGCTTAATCTCTGGAAGCTAATCAGAAATATTTCGGGACAACTGCGGCCATTGAGCGCTTTAATTACATGCGCCATTCTAACTCTATGTGTAACGTGAGAACTCAATTATGAATAAGAATAGGCCATGAAAAAAGCCAGATTGGTTCTGAAAAGTGGAATTTTAATGCTCATCTTCGAATATTAATGAAGCTCCGACGCGTGACATAGGCACTTCATCTAAATAATTTATTATTCAGGAGTGTTCAGCTACATGTCCATGTTTGGCATGACATTGGATCCGATGGTGATGGCGATTTCGATCATGTGCATTGGATTCAGTGTGGACATACCGGCTCACGTCTCGTTTCATTTTCATGCTGCAAGTGAGTTTCTCATAGCATAAATGCTTATACTTCATACTTCGTATCGTATCCTGTACAGTATGGGCTTGAAAATGTTACATTCCGTTCCCCATGCCGCACAATCTTTAAGCAATTTTCTATAGTCATTGGATCCCATAGGTGCGCGCAAGATATAGTCTCATTTAGTGGAGAAACACACTTAATAGTTACTTCTTCATAACGTCAGGAGTTTTTCCTTATCTTTTACACTGGCAATATTTTTCAAATAGTGGTTACAGTTCGTTCAAAACCCACTACATTATGGATATTATGAAGAAATGTTAAAAAGTCTTGACTAATAGATTGAGTGATAGCCTGGAAAAATTGCCATTCCCATTATAAAAGAACGTGAATAGGCAAATGGACAATTGTTTGTTTTCTCGGGCATACGGTGTCTTATAAATTCTACAATATCCGGTGCATAATTGACACGATTAAAACTCAAAATTCTTTCAAGAAAAACTACGGGATCGCTTGGTCTACGGTTCTGTCGCTCTTTATACTCTTGGTTTCGAACAATGAAGGAAAAATTCACAAATAAAAAAGGTCACAAAGTGGAAGCCTAACCGATGGCGTACCATGGAAGCAGTTCCACTGCAGTTTCCTGATGGAATCAAACTTTTGCATAGAGACAGGAAATCGTTCATTTCTATATAGTAGAGGGGTAAAAGATACTGGGTGCATTATATCTGCTTCCTAAGATTTCTTTCAGTCTTCCATCTAGTTCCTAGTACTGTAGTCTTCACCATGTTTCGCTAAAATATTCATTGTTGCGAAAAAATGAGTCCCAACGGAGGAAATCGTCCTTAGTGACCTTTATTATTTTTCTCGTTGGTGATGACTGCGGGTAACCCACCAAAACCCGTCCAAATCATACTCATAAGCAGAGAACGCTCATCTTCAACTGCTAGTGATGCTCATAATTATAACGACAGTGGAACTTTCTTCGAAGCGGATTTAGAGATCTCTTAGAGATGATGGGCTACTGGAAAGCTTGACGACGATTTGATGTACACTAATACTGGTGACATCCACAGTAGACTGATGCGTTTAAAAGATAGAAACATAAAGTTCTTGGTGTTGATCAATTCCTAAGGGATGCGCCATGCATTCGACTTCATTAAACATCGTTTGGAGGTGATTGAATGCATATCTGATCTTTACTTGTGGTGGCCTACCGATGTATCGAGACAGTGCTCCAGTGCTGTTATCCTTACAGACAAGTCTGGTACCGAATTGCCGACCCCGCAAGGATAGAAGGCTTGGTGAGTCTGGAGCGTGAGGATCGATCCCATTTGTATGGCAGAGTAGGCCCCTCCGACCACTGCACCACTCGCGTCCTTCTGATAGGTTTACTTCAACAAAATTCGGTCACACCGTCGATTAGGTGTTCATGGATGATCAGCTGCGATATGCAATAAATACATCTGTCAGAGGAATCATTCAAATTAAGTAAGAGAACATTTACATTAAACAATATAGTCTATTTTTTCCATTAAAGCCATCGATTCAATATCTATCTTCGTAGTATTTTTTGCCATAGAAACTACCTTCATGCCGCGTATAACTTCTCGTCGTTTAAGGATTTCATATGTCTAATGGAAAATCTTTTTCAACACTTTCTTCAAAGTCGTCCGATAATATCGAAGACTTTCAGTCAAGGTGAGAAATTGATCGAATATCGTAGAAATGGTGCAAACGATCTGAGAGCACCTGTAAAAATTCAGCTTTAAAAAAGTTCATCGTATTTACTGCAGTAACCAATACATTTTCAGACTTCTGCATACATTGTGCTCTATAGGATTTCCAGTGATTCAAGCTGGCCTCTCTACAAATCTTTGTGTGTTTCCGCTAATTTTTGTTCCACTCTATATGGCTCAGGTTAGAGTTTTAAAGGGTATATAGTGAAAAATACTGCGCAGGAGAACTGCCATCTTAACATCTGTTCACGCCTATTACTAGTTCGTGAAACAATACAATATTTTATATTCATCATTTTCACACCTATTAATCTTCTGTTGCTCATATGTTTATTCTATACTTACTTGATACTTAAATGGCCTATTCTCACTGGTTGTGTGGGTCCAACGTAATCTCCGTTTTTTCGGAGATTTGCTGGTTAAGCCGTCGTGGTTCCTTGGAATCACGAGGTCAGCCTGGCCACAGTCTGTTCCAGGTCGTCGCCATGAAGGCAGTCGCCGTCTATATGGATCAGAGGGAGATTTGCCACCGTGCGACCAATTTGATACCATGACGGTGGTGGATCCTGGTATTGGTTTACTCTTAGCTAGGCTTCCTCATGGAAAAAAGCGGACTCCTCACAGCTTGGGAGGCCCCATTGAGAGGATGAATCCCACCGCTGTACATCGCAGCCCGACACCTAAGAACACTTCCCAGCCACAACGAGGCGGTAAACCGTTGGGATGGTTTATTTTATACCATTCATATAATTCAAAAAAGAACAATATTACTTAGAAGGGAAAGCAAAGAGATGAAAAGGGGATACCAGAATTAAATGTGCAGAGAAAAAACAGTTTCACTGAGCAGCGTGAGATTAGCGAAAACAAGAACAAATTAAGATTTTGTGTCGTGGTTTTTCTTCGAAAAAAAAGGATAAAGAAAGGCAATACATTTTGTGATGAGAAGGGCAGTGTGGTTTCAAAACTAATGGATGACAGTTGTAATCACGAACTCTAACGTTTTCTACATTGGTGCAACAGCGATCACGACTTAGAATGTAAGCGAAGTCATCGCTTCTCATAAATTTCTGCAGGGAATGATGGATGACAAATTTCCGAAGAAAACAATAAAAGAAAAGAAACCTAAAAAATGATACAGAATAGTTTCACTTTGATACGACGCTACGGTTAGAATGTCTTAACTTTTATTTGCTACCTGTTCCTTTCCAACGCAAAGTGCACTGTGAAATAAAACCACAGGGATGCTGAGATATGAGCAAAAGTGGGTTCGTCGGCGATTTTTGGCCTCCGGATCATTCCCGTTGACGCGTGACTTCTGATATCACCCATATAGTTTAAAAATAACGAGGAGAAAGGTAAAACAAGGGCTTCGATTGCTTTTGTAGATAGCACGGGAGCTCCAGGTAAGGGTAGTCGCGGGTTCGAAACTCTTGAGGTTCCGAGTTTCCTAATACCTCTGCATCCTCGTGGCTATTACCAGAATTAAGCAAGAAATATGCTTATTTATATATCCTTATGAACTGATCTTGTTGAGCTCGTGCGAGGTGGGTATAGTTGTCGTTGCTGTTGGTGTTGTTGGTCAATGGTTCACGTTTCGACGTTTCGTCCCACTCGTGACATCACGGCTCTGAGGAAGACGAAATCGCCGAAACATCAGCCATGGACCAACAACACCAACAATAATGACAACGACAAGAACAGCAACAACAACAACAACGGCAACTTATACCAACCTTGCATAAGCTCAACAAGATCAGTTCATAATCACGTATAAATTATTTATGCCGAGGATTATAGAAAGTTCGTGTTTTGAGTTATTAAGGAAGTAATACTGTATTAAATGTCTGCCCAACATAGCAGAACTGGTCAGTTGGTTGATGCCGAGTTTAAAATCGCTATTATTTCGTATTACTTACCATTCCTTCCACGGATCTCCCTCATATGAGGGATCTCGAGCCGGTTAGTCGCGAGGCTCCGTTGCGCGTCGCCAGGTGCGAATGGCGGGTTAATCGCGGACAAAAAGCGACCTTTGCTTACCTGAGACGCAGGTGGATCCAGTGGATGAACTCCATGTTTTCCTTCTGCGCTGATTTGGCACATACTTCTGTATTTGCTAGGCGTAATTATGCATGCGTGCGTGGATGCGTTCTTGCTTATGCGGATTGTATTCTACGAGTCCATTCGGCCAAAAGCCTGCAATCAAGTGACTGGGAAATATATGGGAGGCTGTTAGGAGTCGCCTCCAACAAATAAGCTCCATGTCCACTCTGGGAGAGCATGGCAAACTAACCGTGAGTGTACCCAGCCCACATTCAGAGATCAGCGAGCTAAACGTGGGTATCAACAAGCCAAGCACACCAAAATAAACGGGCCTCATTCCCCTTACTCCGAGAGATCCACCGATACGGCAGCGTTGCATAGGATGACTACGGAGAAACCTGAAAATTTTAGGGCCGCTCTATGCTGTCTAAAATCAAAATCTTTACGTTAACGCTATGAAAGCTGAGAGTTCGAAAATCACAAAGAGACGTCTACCTCCGGAAACATTCGAGCTGGTACGCCAGCGTGGAATGGTACGAACTACAGGTAATCGCCAGTTCATTCCGAACTTGCAAAACAATGCAGACTGGCGATAAAAGAAGATCTTAAAGAGAGAAGAGCAGCAGTTATGATCGAAGCTGCAGAGACTGCGAAGAGCATTCGCAAAGCCCACCGAAGCTTTCCATATTACAAAACCAAGGTGACTGCACTTCGACACTCAAACGCAACAGTTACAGCTTCTAGAAGGCAATGGCGAAGACCACTCAGGATTTACTTATGTGATCTTATAGACTGATCTTCTTAAGCTGACAGGAAGTTGGTACAGATCTTCGTTGTCGTCGTCGTTGTTTTTTCGGTCGCTCAGGATTATTGCTCGGATCTCTTCAATGCCCACATCCTCCTACTCTCATACCAAATAAAAGAAGATGGATGTATCGTCCCACCGACATGCTATTTCATCGGTGAAAAACCGAACAACAGCAAGTGCGGAAAAGATTGGATCCGAACATATGAAGAGCCTTCTGCCAATCATTATAAGCATACTGATCCGGCTCCTCGTACGTTACCTGTCAGAATGTAAGGTTCCTACTAATTGGGAGCCAAGCAGGACTGTGTTGTTGCTCAAGAACGGTGACCTCAAGAAGGGTGGGATATCGGCAACTATCGCACAACCTGCTTACTCTCCGTCGTCTACAAGCTTTTCACTAGAGTCGTCCTAAACAAGATTTATCGAACACTGGACGAAGGACTGCCATGTGAGCAAGCACGACAGGATCGTATGCCCCATTCACGCTCAACGGAATAAATATTACCGAATGCTCCAGTTACATCCATCTAGGTAGGGAAATCAAAATGATGAAAAACGCAGCGCCAGAGTTGAGCACGAGAAAGCGATCGTCTTGGGAAGCTTACAGAAGCGTCGAGAATGTACTGTAGAGAAAAAACACCGGATCGCATGCCCATATTTTCGACTCCACCATTCTGCCTGCCTTAATGTGTGCATCAGAAATCTGGTCGTTACGAGACCATTTAGTGTTATAGGGCGATGCTAGGAGCACTACGTATCACGCAATGGGGAAGATATCCGAAGTTCTGACCTATGTCATCGATTAAAAACCAGAAACGCCATTCTACACGTGAAATTTTGGAGGATATGATGGGTCAGGCATGTAATTCGTTTGAGTGACAACCAATGGACAAAAGCCATTACCGAACGGATTCGTAGAGATATCAAACGCACAGCCGCAAGACTACCGTCGGAGTTCTTCACGAAAATACTAGGAGATTGATATGACGATCGAGTCCCTACAACGATCAGAACCCACTAGGTTACTCTTGCTCGCGACAGGGAAAAATGGTAGATTTACTGGCCCCCGCTCGAGTCTACGTGACGACAGATAAGACAGGTGATACATTCCCGTAATGATTCACCTATTCATGGCTGATCAGAGCCCTTCTAGGTGATGAGGAACTGCGATATACAGTTGTCGCTTCAAAAAGGTCACCTACCCTGAAAACAACTCTGATATCTTTATACTCCAGCTGATTTTAGACTTTTCGTTCGACGACGACGTTCTTTTGGTAAACGTTTCACGGCACGGACGAATGAGTTGCCAGTGTGTAACTTCTTGCCAAAGTAGGAGAGGTTGAGCAAAACCAAAAGTGGTCTGTTCCTCGCGTATTCTCAGTAAGTGGAGCCCAGTAAGATTACTGATTTCTGCTCGTGTCACCTGGGGATGGTTGATTGGTGCGTTGCTGGGTTAGAAGGTTATATTTTTCATTAGCTCTCGAAACAGCTGTATCAAATCAACCAAACTTTCTTCACGAGATGCCTGTTTCCAATCCTTGTGTGGTTTGTTACAGTGTGAATGGGTTTCTAATCAAACGGCGGCGATTCCTAGTTTGTTCTATGGGGAGTTTCCGGTTGGAGTTGTCGAACTTCTTTCCGGTTTTGATGACCTTGCCAGTAAAATGAAACTTCTGCTTTACACCAATATACGAAGCATAGGAGAGTCACTATGACAATGGACATATGCACACCACACATCACCAAGAAACGACAAAAACGACAACGATGATCATGATGCGACTTCTGGTTCGCTAGCAATTAAAATGACAAGAATTGGGATTTAGGGGAGAAAAATGGACTTTAGAAGTTGGTGAACAAATGAAATAGCAAGCGCTTACTTCCGTACACATACAACACAATGGTAGCTGACATTTCGGGTCGTATCGCCTTCTTCAGATTCTGGAAGGGTACGCTGATACCTAATTTACCAGGTGAAACGCTTCAACAGCACAAACAGAAAGATAAAAAACTGAACAATAATTACACGATCACCGGCTTTTCGAAAAGCGTAGTAAATTTTTTAAAAAAATTGACGTGGTAAATTACGTACCAGTGTACCCTTCCAGGCTCTGAAGAAGGCGATACTGTCAAAACGTCAATTACCGTTGTGCTGTATGTGTTCTATGTGTAAACAAGTAAACATGTGCTAAATGTCTTTTTCTGGAAATAAAGACAACGATAGATTTATAATCTAATGCCGAGGTTAATAGAAGCCGATCTTGGGAACTGAAATAGCAAAGTTTTATGGTGTTATTTATCTCTACATACGCATGGGATAAAGGTAATCTCTTTAATCAACTTTGAGTTTGGTTGACAAACCTATTCTGTCACTATCTAACAATGCAAAAACCAAGGAGGAGAAGGCCACCATCTCCTTATAAAATGTATTTCAAGAAACAAATAATCAGAGCGGTTAGGTGGTCGCCATCTTACGGTCCATTCCGAATCTGGTTCCATATCTTTTTGTGAAAACAACTATAATTTCCACAGATATTTCGAAAGATAATGTTTAACATCGCGAATTTATTATTTTGCCTAAGATAAAACGCCATCTGATCGATGTGATTCTGAATTCAGGTGTTCGCATCCGCTATGTTATCATGCATTTCAATCTCGCTAATCCATGGTATTCTCATTTTACCAGCGATGTTCTGTCTACATGATCGAGCGTCGGCACTATCTCGCTCGTGGATCTCGTCCCGAAAGAAGCAAACACACCCCACAATTTGATTATTGCTGCCTTATGCCTTATGATTTACGGGTTCTCACATGATAAATTTTTATATGCCATTTATTTCACCACGATAACTACACAAGATACTCAACGTGTTCTTTGAGAAGTTTTAGGTACAACCATATTACTAGAATCTCAACGAATTTGAAGAACTATTTATTTAGAAAGCGCTAAAAATTTACGTAAACCTCTTACGAACTAGATAAATTCAGCTGGCTATGTCTGCGAAAGACGACGACCGTGGAGGACACGGGCAATAAGCTGCATCAAGACCAGGAGCTCCAGTGGACCCGGGTGATCCTGGTGCACCGTCTTTGCCGCGATTTCCATCTTTACCAGGCGATCCACGCGGACCTGCTGGGCCCGCGGAGCCTGTTAGACTACGCCCACCCTGAAGAATTCGTTGTAATTCGAGCACTTGTTGGAAAAACGTTGTTATAACCAACCAACCTCTCCAATTGGTCCTGGAGGTCCGGCAGGTCCTGGTGGTCCTACTGCTCCTGGAGAATTATGCTGCTTTACACCACGCGCTCCACTTTGGCCGGGTACACCGGATGGCCCAGGATGGCCAGCTGGTCCCGGCGGTCCAGATGGGCCAGAAGGCCCAGGTTGACCAGCAGGTCCACGTGTTCCATCCAATCCAGGACCTCCAGGCGGTCCCGCAAGTCCAGCAATACCATCAACACCTGGAGGACCAGGTGGTCCTGCAGGACATTTGACGCATTCCTTCAACAATTCCGCCGTTGGAGAATGTCCAACACCGCCAGGAGAGCCGTCTTGACCGGCACTTCCAGGCTCACCATCTTCACCTTCCTGACCAGGAGGCCCTGCTGGGCCAGCAGGACATTTGCTAGCCGATGGAGGGCAGTTGCATTTTACAGCAGTGCGACCTGAACTTGATGTAGCAAGATACGCTTTCGGATCGCCTAAAAATGATCAGGTCACGACGCAGGTCATTTACGACGCCGGTGGTTTGTAGATAAAAAGTGATAAACATCACGATGTAGATAATGAAAGAAATGTCTCTCAACTCATAAAAATGCCTACCAGTTGCATACTGCCTCTTTTCTCTCGTGATAAAATTTTCATAGGTTACAAATCGGTCCTCATTATAGCCCGTTGTCTTTATCATCTCGTTCCATGCATCATCAGCCATTCCCTATAAGTACAGGGAATAATGGATTTCTTTGTCGTCGTACAAAGGTTACACGCATACCCTAAAACCCGCAAGATCCATACGAATTTCTTCATGGAAATCATTGATGTCATAGAATATCAACATGGTTAAAGCGATGGCCGATAAGGCACCGATTGCCGCTGAGGCTGTGATTGCCTGCGCAAATGTGTGCGACTGCATCATGGTGGTACTTCTCTCAGAAGCTTCCTGAATGCACAGAAATAGATAAAAAGGAACAGCTGTTTAATGCAGTAGCTTATCACTAGGTTTTATACGGCACTGCCCAAACTGGTATCATTAAGCCGCAGCAGTGAACCGGGCACCATGCACAGCTTCAATTAGCAAACCAGTATCTGCATGGTCAATGTGGACGCATATCAAATAAAGACCACCTAGCCAGACAAAATACTTGGATGAGCCGCCTTCACTGGTTGTGCGGTCCCCACCATGATTTCCATCCTTTCGGAGTTTTGATGGTCTGGCCATTGTGATTTCCTGGAGTCCCGAGGTCAGCTGGCAAAATATTACAAAGAAATTTAATGTCGTGCAGTACAGCAAACCTACGTTTCAATCTTATACATGTGATACACCTTAGAAAGCTCAGCGATCGCAGACAATCGATTTTAAACAGGGTCAAGAAACGTTGGCAAATTTCATCACAGTTTCCCAGTTATTATAAAGGATAAAGTAAAAGCTATCATATGGTCCATAATCACTTAGACAGCCTTAAAACTACTCGTTCGGCATTCTAAGTGGCAAAAAGAAATCTTCCATTGTGTTAAAAATATTCAAATTGGCAACCAGAGGTATTTACTTCCTTAGATACTTGCATGCCCGGCCTACACTACTTGTACAGTCCCCAACATAATTTCCATCTTTTCGGAAATTCTCCTGTTTGGCCATCGTCGTTTCCTGGAATACCGAGGACAGCTAGCCGAAGTCTATCCCAGGTGGTCACCACCGCATGTAGTCGCCGCGCTTGTGGATCAGAGGAATATTTGCCACCATGTGACCAGTTAGATTCCAGGACGGTGGTGGATACTGGTATTCAGCCAGACAAAATAGTCTGCTGAATTCCTAACAAGCCACTTATCTTCATCATTCACGGCAATTCAATAGTGTAGTTGAGTAACTGTAAATTAGCCTCCAATGCTATCGGTATGCGATGGAGCCAACACGCATCGGTGCCCACAGTGGACCGTATGCATCGATCCCAGTGAGTAATCTTCTCGACCGTTCATTCTGCCGCAGTATATTTGCGACACTATCTTAGATTATCAGGCTTTCATCTGATATTATTCTTTGAACTACTTCTGCTGCTTAACTTATCCAACACGCATCTCGAGATAAACGTACTGTGTGCAGAATTATCATTTACATTTAATAATTGATAAAAACCTTCATTGAATTTCTTCAATGCAAAATAATACCTTCAAAATTTAAGCCGACTCCTAGGCGGCCACCCCAAAAAAGTAGTCATGTGTGTTCAGCTCTGGCCCACACTTTTTGAAATATGAAAGTGATTCCGATTGTTGGCTTACCGATGCAATTATATGTCTAGAGTAAAATATAACCTGTTATTTCAAGGATAGGTGAACTAGTATACATTTCTTTACCCATTAAATGAGTTTTTCATATATAAAACCTCCCTCGCTATTAACAGATCACATGAACTACCATCTCGAAACAAAAACAAGATAGTGAACAAAGCATCGCAAAGTTTAAAAAAATCATAGAATAACTAAGTGCAATAGTATTAACAATAACATCTATAGAAAAATGACATGTTGGTAAGAACAACCACCAATGTCAATTCATGCTTTACTAGAATTTCGAAGGTTTCTTTTTCTTTTTTGGCTGCTGTTTCGGACGCATTTGACGTGGACCCTCAGGCATCGTGACGGCCATCGGTCTTGGAGAACTCGGAGAAGCCGATACATACTCGCTATAATTAGGTTATTCATCATTCAAATCGCCCATGAAACTATTTTATTCGGAAGAACATATTACCACTCATAAAACCTCAAGACTAACACGTTGGGATTAGTTGACACGGATCCCTGAGTTCCCCTTCCGATGTCGCGATCTCGGTTCTTCTTTTGCCTCTTCTTATACGCAGCACGTTCTTGCTTTGGCAGCCATCTAAAGTAAGCAGGATACAAAAACGGCATCACATTTCCATAGCCAAATGATACTATCCCTCCCGACAGTGTACCGCCTCATCGTGGCTAAGTGTTCCTGGGTGTCGGGATGTGATGTGCAGCGGAGGCATTCATCCTTCCAGTAGACTCTCCCAATCTCAGGAGTCCGGCGTTTCTATTAGGAAGCCTAGCTAAGAGCAAACCAATACCAGGATCCAGCACTGTACTGGTATCAAACTAGTCGCATAGTGGCAAATCTCCCTAAGATCCACAAGGGCTGCGACTGCCTGTGGTGGTGACAAACCTAAGGCAGACTTTGGCTCGAGATGCTGTCCTCGAGATTCTAAGGATTGTCAATGGCTAAACCAGCAGGACTCCGAAAAAAATGGAACCAGTTAACACAGGCTTTCCAAGTATCCAAGTCAGTACGTAAATGATACTATCAAATAATATAGAAATTTCAAAAGTTCTGAAAACAGCACTTGTCCGTAGCTAACAGTAAGATCTCTAAATTAAGATCGAAGTAAAACAGCAGTGATAATAGTAACCTTTCCGGGTCAGGGGGCACGTTAGGATCATAGTTCTTTGGTAAACGGATCTTCCTTTTTCGTTTACGATTCTTCAACTTTCTCGTCACAATTTCCTGAAAGAAAACTTTGGAAAGCAATTGAAAGTCACAGTCTAAGATAACCGTTACGTAAAACGTGTTTTATTTAAACATTCTCTTCATTTCAAAAATGAGCAATAATAGTATCCTTACACTTTCTGTAAAGCTTTCTATTCACTAATCGCCCAAAAACATTTCGGGCTAGAAAACCCGAGAGTACCCCGTTAACAGCAACTCCAACAAGGGGTAAACGGTTATGGTAACCAACATGAATTTGATGATAGCTCTTTGAGACTATCGAATAGCACTAAAGGATTTCCAACCAACATCGCCTACCGTGTCTTCAACTTCTGATTTGGCTTCTTTTTTCTGCTTATATTTCTCGCCGTAAAGGATCCAATCGCTCTCTTCGAGATTATCAACATTGATACTCTCGTCTACTGTCACTGGGAACACCTTAACAATTGAAGTCTCATTACATGAACATACACATGAATATTGTGGAATGCAATGAAGGAATACCTCTCAGAGCGATTCTCTGCACAGATCACTTAAAAAATATCGAAAAAACGAAATAACAAAAACTATTGGAAAAAAGAATTACCTGGGCACTGAGTTCTTCGGCTTTTTGAGGATTGCAATCCGTGTACGCTCGAATAAGTCGACAAAGTACTTTACTATCACTTGGATTGGACCTTTAGAAGGAAATTTAGAAAGATGCCCGATATGGACAAATTGAAAAACGACCAACTCTAAGAGTTTCTCAAGATAATTAGCAGCTCCAGCCGCATTTCCTCTAGAAGACTCTAGCACAGCCGCCTGATGAAGCATCTGTTGACGTGATTTCAAATCAGGCATATGTCCCATAGCTTCGTTTAACATCTGAAACTCACAAACATTGTTAAAATGTGGAATCAGACACCTTGAACTGTTTGCTGGTTGAAACCTACCTTCAGAGCATCTTCTTTTCTCTCCAGAGAAATTAACACGCTAACTGCAAGACTAACTACAGCAGACCGTAGACGAACATTTGGCGGCAATTCTTTTAAGGAAGTAATAGCGTCTTCAAGTTTACCTGGAAATAATACAGATAGGACGAAAATAGTCGCAGTTCTGAAACAGGATCACTGACAATATTCAAGAATATTCAAGAGCACATACCGCTATTGACCATTAGGTGAATACGTGTCAACTCCATCTGAACGTCACCGTTCTCAAGCATCTGAAGAGGACTAAAAATTCGAAAAATTTTGATGGATACTTAACTTACATTTAACACTGGTGACATCACATTAGCATTCTGTCATTATTCCTGTTTTGTTATTAACATAGGCGTGTGGCGCGGTGGTCGGAGTTCCCTTGCAAAACACACGAGATTGATCCTCACGCACAAGGCTCACCAAACCTTCAATCTCTCCGAGGTAGGTAAATTGGTGCCAGACTTATCTGGGAGGATAGTAGCACTGGCTGAATATACCGGTAGGCCACTGCAAGTCATTGTAAAGGCCAGATATGCATTCAATCACCTCCAAACGATGCTTAATGAAGTCAAGCGCATGGTGCACCCCTCAGGGATTGATCAACGCCGAGAGCTTTACCCTTTATTTATTAAAACTAAAGATGAATAAAGACTGAAGCAATGTGTGAATATTGCCCTTTGTGCAAGAAACCTATAGACGTTAAACACTGGGTTGGTAACTTTCAAAAACACAAGAACAATTTTACCCAAAATTTAGTTAGGCAGCTACAAGAGGGATTCCTCATCTCACTTTGCGTTTATACATCGCCTTAAAGCATATTGCTTCCTCTTTTTCCCCTTTTACTACTCTTGATCTCTCCAGTTATCCCAATATTATTAGTATTCTTTTAGACATCTCTAATGATTCTCTTTGTTATCATAGGTGGCGAATATTCCTGAGTATCGATGTGTGATGTAGAGGGGGAGTTGTGGTTGTATTTCGCTTAGTAACCTGCCATGAAAATTATAGAAGGCAGAAAACAAAACGTTAAACATAGTGATTTCAACTACAGCCATAGCTTAACTGGGTTCTATGCCGATTTGCGCTTCACAGCGGTCAACCTCGCTGACGGGTGATTGCTGTGGCAAAAAGATCGATAGAAATAGCTGAGAGACAGGCGAAACGAAGGACCCGCATGGTGTGGTGGTGAACGCGTTCTTCCCGGAAAGGATAATAGCGCGTTCGTTCCCCACCATAGACACCTGCGGTCCAGAGTTTTGCAAATATCTCAGCAACGTTGTGGTTGTATAAGCGAATACTTTCTGTCATGAGTGCTGATAAACGACTAAAGGATTACTAGCACTTGCTGCAACGATACAGAATTGACGATGAAGACGTTCTACATCAACGTTTTCACTCCATTTGTTCCCTAACTGGGTAAAAAGCGTCGAGGTCGAGATCAAATCCAGGAATACAGGAACAGCTCTAGAGTCAGACCAAGCCAAAGATGACTTCTTTTGAGCTGGAATCCACAAAATAGGCGAACTACATGCGATCCATATAACAATTTACCTTAAAAAAACCCTTAATCAGTGGCGGATCTCGAACATCTTAAGAGGTATAATGGATAGGCTTTTCGCAGTTACTTCCCAAATTGCTTGTTGTGTATGCTCTATAGGGTCTTCACGAAAATTAACCCCATAGCGAAAATCTAATTTTTTCAAATTTTAAATTTAATAAAATTTCAAATTAAAAAAATTATCAAACAGCGTTGAAGGAGAGGTGATGTTTGAAAATCTCAAAGAAGCAGGTGGACAGGATAGAAAACGCAGCGAATGTGAAAACAATGTTGACCCCTACAAACCGCTTGAACCATGTGTTCTGGAATACAACAGGCACGAGCAATATCTAAAACGGCGCAGACCAAACACCACTCTCACCAGAAGTTATTCCATCTTTAAGATCACGTAGTACACTTCAAAGGCAATACATAGATAAGCCGGCGATGTAGTAAGAAGTGACAACTAATGGACCACAGCGAGAGTCCCAAGGTCTAAAATATGATGCAAGCATACCACAGCGCATGATCAGACGAGGAACGAATGAAAAATGTGTTGAGTTACGCAGGGCTTATAAAAAACATTCGCTCAGCTATCCAGGTAAATGTAATTAAGGCATGAATTAATAAAACCCAGTGGAATTCACAACTATTAAAATTCAGCTCCCACTGACTAAAGAAGGGAGGCAGTGTCGATTTTCCCAGCTGTATCTTGAACACCACACGCAATTTCCCATCCACTGATATAAAATTTACAAAACAAGTGATAATATACGCTTGAAATGATATTGACAAAAAATCACAAAACTGAAAGATTTCAATGCACGAAGGATGACGTGAGAAATGGCAGACCAACTGTCTTCACAGAACATACGTAATTTTCGTAGGTCCAGCCTAATCCACCGATTTCCTTCATAGAGGGATTTCATGTCGGTTAGTGACGACGCAACGTGGTACTTCCCCAGGTGGCGGATATGATTTTAATCGCGGACCACAGGCGACCTTATGCTTCTCTGAGACGGAGGTGGATCCAGGTTTACAAGCTCGTTTTTCATGCAAGCGTGCGTTGGTCGGCTCTCGGTTATGGGTTTGTATTCTACGAGGTAATTCTGCCAAAGGCTGCAATCAAGTGAAAGGGAAGTATAGGAAGGTCGTTAGGAGCCGCCTCCAACAAATAAGCTACTCACCCACTCTGGAAGAGACTTGCAAGCTACACATGAATTTATGCAGTAGCCAATTTCAGAGTTTGTCCACGAACATGCTTTCATCCGAACAATTAACAATCTGAGCCGACCACCTAAGATTGAAGAAATGCTTATGAATACCGCTTTCTACAATCTTCGTCGTTTACGCACCGATCTCAAGTTACGACGAAGACGAATTCGAAGCGTTCTATATGGGCTTGGAGAAGTTCTACAGAGAAGACCATACAATCTCCAATGTCATCACTGGAGATTGTAATGCAAAGATTGGACTAAAAAGAACGTCTGAAGAACGTCACACTGGGATTCACGGAATTACAATGGAACGATCAGGGCGCCCCTCGAATCACTAGACGAATACCGGAGCGATAGGTAATACAAACGATACCAACCTCATATTTTGAAGTAATACAACAATAGACTGATGCTGCAATGCTTCTACACTTGAATCTTACCTTGATTGCTTTCTCAAACTCATTGAGACGGAAACATAATGCAGCTTCAATAAGTCGAGTATCTCTTGTTGCACCAAAAGCCTTGATAAGATCGTCCAGGGCGCGTCGACACGGTTCTCGTTGGTTCGAGTGTAGCAGTACAAGAGCCTGCAAAACAACTGCAACTAGAATCGAGCTGAAAGAGATAGGCATCATCAAATCCTAAAAAAAGAAAAAGGAACTGCATAATATGAAAGAAGCACACATTATTCAACATAAGGATTCGTCGTTGACGCGTAGACAACTTTTTCTGGTCCAACTGAAGAGCATTTTTCAATTTCCTTCGAGCGTCAGCAATGTTTTGGTCTTTCATTGCACTCGCCAAGTTATTTGCCAATGTGACAATAACGCCGATATCAGATGGCCTTAATAGAATCCAAGTTTTTGACAAACTTTTGAAGTATTTATTGAATTGCGGAGAAACGAAGGAGCACATTTTATAAAAATAGTTTATCGATGGTTAATTCTGAGCCTGTATACGAACACCTTAATAGCAATGGCAAACGTAATCAACGCACCCGGCTGCTTGGAGGGTTCTATATAGTTCAATTGCCTCGTTTTTTCTCCCAAGTTTATGCAACACATAAGCGCGTTGCACACACAGCACGGCAAGTTCATCTTCAACTTCTTCTTCGTCCAAACCTTCCTCACTAAGCGTTTCTCGACACAAAGCTGTGAAAATAAATCCAAAGTTAAAGTAATTTAAGACGTTAAACCTCGGAAAGATGAGAAGAAACAAACTTACCAATTGATTTATCCAAATTCTTTAGCGCCAGCTCGTAATTTCCAGCTTCTATAAGTTGACAAGCGCTATTGTACAGCTGCTCAAAGGTTTCGCAATCGGTTGAAGATTGCTGAAAGCAAATAATTCCTTAATTCACCGCTCTCTTGATAAGTAGACAAGGTTGTCACTGCAACAGTTGCTGCATAATAGGTAACATTCCAAATGATTTTGTCCACTCCAGAGGCGAGAAAGTTCAAGATGACGTAAAGACGAATCTAGTCAGTAAAACACATCTTTAGAATTTTGGATAAATTTCAGAAGTCCAAAAATGAACCGCAGAAGGAAATTCGTTGCTATCACGCGTGACCCCATACAATGTCTCAGAGTGATTTTCTAACCAGAGAGAAGCACATTACCTAACCATATAAACTTCGGGCTCTTTATCAATAAATTTAGGATTCGCAAAGAACGGCAAATGCCTAAAGAAGCTGCCTCCTATTTGACTAAAATTTAAGTTACGGATTTTTCTGTTGGGTTTATGGAACTATTTAGCTGAGTAGACGAGCATCAATTTCATTTTCCTGGTCCTGAATAAGGCGAAATCCGCCGAAAGGATAGCTATAGTGAAATGACTACTGCAGTAACAACGACGTGTGTGCTCATTAAGGAATGAGTAAACTATTAACCAATGCCTAAGTTAACAAGAAATAAGTCCTGGAATAAACACTTGTTTGCACTAAAAATGGTGTAAGACATAAATATCTCAAGGGGTAAACGTAGCGGAAAGTTAGGGCAAAAGTACATCATTTTAAGATGACAAAGCGTACTTAGATTTGCTGAAATCACAAAAGGATAGAGTGTGATGGAAACAAACTATCAACATTTGAAAGACTATGGAGGCATAAAAGATTTTCTAGCCCAAAAAGTACCAAATGCAAACAGACTAAGAATAAAATTACCTTTTTAAAACACATGCTGGTATTACAGACGTCTAGTGGCGCGCGCGGCGCCCTGCAACATGCATGGGATCGACCTCTCCGCCCCTGGGCCGCCAAGACTTCCTTCCCTTCGGGGTCGGCAAATTGGTACCAGACTTGTCTGGGAGAATAGCAGCAACAGCTCTACACATCAGTAAGCCACCGCGAGCCATTGTAAAGGCCAAATGTGCACTCAATCACGTCTAAACAATGCTTAATGAAGTCGAATGCATGGCGCATCCTCAGGGATTAACCAACGCCGAGAGCTTCATCCTTTATCCATTTTTGATATCCTCAATAGCCTCTCCTCCATCCTCCTTCCTAGTCCCTACTCAGTATTTAAAGATTCTTGGTGAGCTGTGTAAAAAATTCACATCCAATATATTACCATGCTATAACGATATGTACATATATATATATACATATATATATATATATAATATAACGATAACACCGACGTCAAAAGAGGGTTTAGACACGGCGATACAATCTCGCCAAAACAACCACCCTCGAAAACGCCATGCGAACATTGCAATGGGACAACATGGGAGTGGAAATCGATAGTCATCAAATACACCATTTTCACTTTGTTGATGACATCGTTCTCATACCACGAAACATTAGCCAAGCTGAAAGAATGCTACCTGACTTTGATAGCGCCTGCTGAAAGATTCACCTTCGACTAAACCACACAAAACCAATGTTCACGATAAACGGATTGGTTATGTATGTCCCATTCACGCTCGACGGAACGAATATCTCCCAATGCTCCAGTTACGTATATCTAGGTTTAAAAATCAACATGATCAACGTCTTAGCTCAAGAGCTAAGCAGTAGGAAACAAGCGGCTCAGAGAGCTTTCAAATGGTATCGACGATGTAATGAAGAGAGCAAAGAACCGACTCTTGCCTCCATGATACTCCCTGCCTTATCGTATGCAACAGAAACCTGGTCGCTGCATGAGCAGGATGAAAGGTTACTCAGCGTTATTAAACGCACAGTCGAAAGGACGATGCTAGGAGTATCCCGTTCCACACAAGTAAGGGATAGGACCCGAAGCTCCGATCTGCGTCAACGATCAGAAATTAAAGATGCCGCACTGTACGCCAAACAGTCGAAGATAAGGTGGGCCGGTTACGTAATGCGTATGAACGACAACCGATGGACAGGAGCCGTTAGTCACTAGATTCCTCGGGATGTCAAACGCACTGCAGGAAGATCACCGACACGATGGTTCGAGTTCTTCACGAAGAGCCTACAAGAAAGATATGATGTTCGACGAGTCCCTAGAGCGAGCAGAACCCACTGGGCTACTCTTGCACGCGACAGGAAAAAATGGAAGATTTACTGCCGCTCGCTCGAGTCACTCAACGATTAATGGGACTAAGGGTGATATATGTGATACGGTTAGACACCAGCGTTCTCAATGTGCAATGGATACAGACAAAACTGCGAAAGTTGATAATGTTCAGTGTCTTCTTCCTTTGGTGAGTTAATAATCTGGTAGAACTCGGACTGAGAATCCATTCGGTCTTCGGATGTGATTACGACCTGATTAATTCTTTTAATGTCGAAGGTCCGGAGGGCGCGTATAGTGTAGTGGTCGAGGGCGCTGCGTGATACATACAAAATCGATCCCCGCGCCCCACGCTCACCAAGTCCTCCATTCCTTCGGGGTCGGCAAATTGGTAAAGGATTTGTCTGGGAGGATAGCAGCAGTGGCTCTATACATCGGTTGGCCACTGTGAAGGCTAGATATGCATTCAGTTACCTGCAACGATGCTTAATGAAGTCGAGTGTATGGCACCTCCCACAGGGATTGATCAACGCCGAGAGCTTTATCCTTTATTCTTTTTACTGAGGTAAGAAAACTTCATAATTACTTGGATAATTGCACGGCCCGTCTCCATTGGATGTGTGGGCCCCAGCATAATTTCCTGGTTTAGCCACTGTTGTTTCCTGGGGTCTCGAGGACTGCCTGGCTGTCTGCCCAGGTGGTCACCACCACAGGTAGACGCCGCCCTTGTGGATCAGAGGAAGGTTTGCCGTCATGCGACTAATTTGACACCATGACGGTGGTAGACCCCGGTCTTAGTTTACTCCTAGATGGGCTCCCTGATGGAAATACCGGAATCTTGCTTGGGAGACCCTGACGAGATGAAACCCCTCGGTGTGCATCGCAGCCCGATGCCCATGAACACCGCTTAGCAACGATGAGGAAGTAAACCGTTGGAAGGAAGAGAAGTTCATAGCGTTCAATTATATGAAAACTACAGCGATGAAAGAATCATGCAATACATCCATTTAAAATTAGCCACACAGAATTGTTCGAATATAAAGAACATGTCGAAGAGTAAAACCTACTTGTTTCATTCCCATGGCTTCCAACTGTGCCACAACTGCAAGATAGTTGGCTTTACGCTCATCGTCGTAATCGTCAGAATGGTTTCGAAACAAATCGCGAAAAATCTCGAGAGCCTCCTTGAGGGACATGTTTAACTTTCAACGAAGTATTATTCGCAAAAAAAACACTGCCCCGATGAATTCGTTGGAACCTCAAACACGACATGAAAATGAAGAGCTACCTGGAATCTGTCGAGGCGATAGTATAGTTGGGCTCTGAGTTCTTGAGCGCGTTGATCGGTTTTGTCACAAGCTTTTAGGGCTTCTAATGCGTCGTCATTTCTTTCCAAACGATAGAGAATGTAAGCCTTCTCGAAAGCACATTCCCTGTTTAGAAAAAAGAATATGCCACACTTTAAAAAAGCCTACTAAAAAGGGTTAAATAAATAAAGGATATGCTTTCGCGTTGATCAATTCCTGAGGGATAAGCCATGCATTCGACTTCATGAAGTATCGTTGGACGTGATTGAAAGCATATCTGGCCCTTACAATGACTCACCGTGGTCTACCGATGTATCGAGCCAGTGCTGCAATCGTCCCAGACAAGTCTGGCACCAATGTGCCGACCCCGGAGGAATGGAAGCCTTGGCGAGCCCGAGGAGCGGAGATCGATGCCATGTGCATTGCGGTGCGCCCCATTTAAAAGGTTGCATTTAGGAGGTGTTCCTGGGTGTCGGACTGCGATGTACAGCGGGAGGATTCGTCCCCCCCCCCCCCGCAGGGTTTCCCAACCTGAGGAGTCCGGCGTTTCCATCAGGAACTTAGCTAAGATTAAACCAATACCAGGATCAGCCACCGTCCTCGTATCAAAGTCACATGGTGGTAAATCTCCCTCTGATCCACAAGGGCTGCGACTGCCCGTGCTGGTGAAGACCTGGGGCAGAATTTGGCCAGGCCGACCTCGAGATTTCAGGGGACCATAATGGCTTAACCAGCAGGTCTCCGAATAATGGTGATCATGCTGGAGCCCGCACAACCAAACAGGACGGGCCGTTCAAGTATCAAGTAAGTACATTTACAACAATGCAGTAGTAAATACGGCAAAAAATTTCGATGCCGTTTCCACAGCGTGTACACGAATTCATCCAAAAACTGCCTGCATTCTAGCACTTACCCCATTTGACTTGGCGGTGTCTTCCTTAGTAAAGTAAGCGCATCGTCATACATTGATAAATGGATGAGACAAACCAATTTGCACTTGAAAGCATAGTGCTCTTTTGGATAGCGTCGAATCACTAAGAAAGCAAAATGATTAAGAGACACAAAGTAGGGATCTAAGGACTGCCTTAGGAGCTAGGCAAATACAAAACCGAATGGAAAATAGCACTAACGACGATTAGCTGCCAGGAGTGCTTTCTGGTAATCACCACTAGTATCTGCCCTGGTTAAATCAGTCAGACATTGCCGCAGTCCACCTTCTGTTGTCATCTGTAAGGAATGTTTTACTTCACAGTATCATAAAAAAAAAACAGAGTAGAAGATGATAGTATGAAGGAAAGAAGAGGAAAGGCAGTAAGGAACGACAAGGGTAATTCGATCCGAGCATGTCAGTCTAACTCTCCACAAAATGCTTCGTTTGAGCTACTACATGAACAACGAACGAATTAGAAGGTCCACAACTTTACCGTACCATTCTTTACTTTTTAAGAGCGTTTAGTTTCTATCTCTATTGCGCTTTAAGCGTTTACTAACACCTGAACCTCATTATTATTTCTGAAACTCTAGCTTACTGGTAATGCCCTCTCTCCTCTCCCCCCGTCCCTACTCCATCTTGAACATTTGGTCAAACAACAGATTTTCACTTGATACATTATAAGTTCTGTTTAATTTTTCACTTGTGTTCTAAATTTTCTCGCACACACTCAGCAAATTAATAAGACTCAGTAAATGAAAAATGGTTGGTCATTCGATCTAAACGACACCATTTCTTGGCTAACTACCATATTGTTGCCAAAACGGTAGCGATTCCCAAAAGTGTGTGACTTATTCAACAATAAGGATATAGGCGTTCACTAAGCAGATCCGAAGAAAGACATCGTAAGACAATATGAGGAAGAACGAGTAAGAAGAGGATCCTGAAATCCTGGGACCATAGCAGGTTGGCAAATTCAGAACTGCTACGGGTGACGATCCGCATTTACGGAACGTGCGCACCACATGTCGGTTACTTCCATTGTGAAGAGTAGACAATACCAGCCCTACATGTTGTTTATGTTTATTGGAGATGAACTCCTTCTCGGTGGGACTGTTGTGACAGAAAAGTCGTGGATGTCTTCTATGTCCTCACCAACATGGATTTCAATATGAATTTCGACCTCATCGAACAACTTCGGAGTTGAGTTGGGCGCCTACGACACAGAATCTGTTCATATCGGAGTTAACAGGCTTCTTTGCCTCCAGCTTAACGTTTAGCCACTATGAAGATTAGGTAAAACAATTTTGATGCCCTGCAATGAGAACCATATCTTCAGAGAACTGACTATAACTTCAGTACCAAGATTAAAACCAGAAGAACATCCGATGAAATCTAGACGGGTATGTCTAACGTTTCGCCGCCTCTGCTTTCTTCAGAGCCGCGATGATCCGTTCGATCGCCCACAGCCGTCTGTCCTCTCGTTGTGGATGTTGGTAGTCTTACAGATTCGAATCATCTGGAATAGAGCACTGGTCGAATGAAGTATCCAGTTGATGCTTAACCTACGGCCATTCATTTTGATCTGTTTTCATTATGGAAGCGGCAAGTGTAATGCAGTGGTTAGAGCTGTTCTGCAATACACATGGGTTCCATACCGCGCCCCAGGCTCACCAAGGCCTCCATCCCTCACTGGTCGGCAAACTGGTACAAGACTTGTCTGGGAGGATAACAGCACTGACTCGACACATTGTATAGGCCAGATATGCATTCAGTCACCACTAACGATTCTTGATGTGGTTGAAGAAATGACACGTACCCTATGGATTGATCAACGCCTAGGGCTTTATCCCTTTATCCTTTCATTGAGGAATTGCATATTATAACAATGGTTAGCCCATAGCGTTGCGATATCTTAAAGTGTTGTTTCCTTGTTTAGCAATCGCGAGGTTTTTAAACAGCATACATTTACTTCCATAAAAAACAATACGATACAACGCTAGCTGACGTTTCGGCAGTATCGCCTTCTTCAGAGCCGCTTTTTTCGTGTCTTCCAATGAGGAAGTTTAGAACAGCTGATTATAGTATATATATCTTAAAGACCAACATTTACTTAACTTTGGGTTGAGTGACAAATATTTTATTAGGTTAGCAGGAGGGTTAGCAAGAGATTGGTATGATATGTTATTGAGTTGCTGCTAAGGTAAGGAATCATGAAAGCATAGAGCTTGTTCAGAGTTGGTGTCCTTTTACAGGAATTCAGAACTCGTGGCTCTCAAACCAATGACTGCTTTATAACCTCCAGTGACAGTAGAGGGAATGCAATGCAAGAAATGTCATACACAATGGTGAATGGATGCATACGCCTTCGGATTACCTTCACCTTTGCAAATCTTCTGGTCAGAAAATGCATACGAAAAGTCGATAAAAAAGTCTTCACTTTACTCTATTTAGCGTTCGATGTCGTCTTCACCACATCATGTTTGGCCATCTAGTGTCTCTGAACGATACTATCACCAATATCGTAGGAGAGAACAATTGGTAGATAGAAGTGGTAAAGGAGTAGAATGCCTATTTCTAATGAATCTCATTACCATACGGGTTGAACAACGTCATTAAATGAAAAAAAAGGATAAACCTCTCGACGTTGATCAATCCCTGAAGGATGCGCCATGCATTCGGCTTCATTAAGCATCGCTTGGTGGTGATTGAACGCATATCTGGCCTTTACAATGATTCCTGGTGGCCCACCGATGTATCGAGCCAGTGCTGCTATCCTCCCAGATAAGTCTGGCACCAATTTGCCGACCCCGGAGGGATGGAAGGCTTAGTTGGCCATGGGCACTGGGATCGATCCCACGTGTGTGTTGCAGGGTGCCTCCAACTACTGTGCCACACGCGCCCTTTCAACGTCGTTACTATTGGAAAATTAAATGACATAGAGCTGGGAATGTAAAGGAATTTGCACTGGGATAGCTCATTTAAAACAAATATTATGCACTTTTTCGACTATAAACTCCTCATGCCAAGTTCAGACAATGAATTATGAGTACAGTAACTCAAACTTCGTAATATATAGACAGTCTGACAAATTCATCCTAGGTTTCCTTTTTATTAGGAAGGAGGTAGCGCAGTGACAGTGTCCTATTAATCACGCAGACGGGCCAACCCACAAAACTTCTTGTTCGACGCCGCTGCGGGTCCTTCAAACCCTTCATTACTCCAAGGTAAACACATTGCTACTACTAGACTAGGACGGAACTAGCTAACTCTCACTAATCCACGCAGGAACGCTGCTGCACTAAAATCTCAGGATTTCAGGGTGAATGAATTCGAGCAGCATTCAACGACATTAATTAAAAAAATCGAAAATCCTCAAGCAGCAGGCGAGGCCACGCGAAAATTGTTTCCAAGCCTTCGTGGATGTTGATGCGAAGAGACGATCCAAGAAGTGCTAGGATCCGCAGAGTGTCATTCATATGGTGTTGAGTCCTTGCAACAATAATAGTACATTTTATTCAGCTGGAGAAGGAACATTAATTTGCAAATACATTTATTCATAATGCTTAACCTTTTATGTACTACCTATTGTTTCTTACTCGTGAGTGTATCATATGACATACAACCACAATGAAGCTGAGATATTTGCAAAGCGTGTAGCTGTCCAGATTCGAACCTGTGATTGCCATTTCCGGCCGTTCACCTTTCACGCACTACACCGCTGCGGCTCTTACTCTGCCTTTTTCTGAGCTTCTCTTTCATATTTATTCAATTCTGAAGCGTCTACATTAATGACTAACTTGAAGCAGACATGAGGTCTTTCGATAGCGAAAGCACCTTGGAGAAAATTCTTTAGCAGGAGATGAGAGACTTTTAGAAGATGTAATCATCAATGAACAGCTAGCCCATGGCTCTATAAAATTCTACCTTACACAGTTTTCTAGCCATACTGGTTAACCAACCTGTTCTCGGAAATTTTAATAGCTTCCAACACCAGAACTGTCGCTACAAGAAGCCCTCTGTACAGTGCACCGTAGACGTACTACTGGAATTCAGTACACCTTGATCACGTGTTGCCAAAATCAGTTTGTCCACGTTTGTCAGCGGAAAAGTGCAATGTTATCACTTTTCAGATACAGTTAGGAAATTTCATTGATCCAGAAGGTAGCTGACGGTCAACAACCGCCTACCCACTTGGACACTTGGACATCCTGTCCTCACTGGTTGTGTGGGCCCCAGCATAATCTCCACTTTTCGGAGTTTTTCTAGTTTAGCTATTGTGGCTCCCTGTACCACCGAGGTCAACCTGGCCAAAGTCTGCCCCAGGTCGTTACCTCTACAGGCAATCGCCCCCCTTATGGATCAGAGAGAGATTTGCCACTATTGGACTAGTTTGATACCTGGACGATGGTGGATCCTGGCATCGGTTTACTCTTAACTAGGCTTCCTGATGGAAACGCTGCACACCTTTTTAGCTTGGTAGACTTCGCCAAGAGATGAATCCCCCAGCTGTACATCGCAATCCGACATCCAGGAACACCTCCCACCCACGATGAGGCGGTAAACCGTTGGCAAGAACCTCCCACCAAACATTCCAGAAGCATGTTCCCGAAATTCTTGCTCGGCAATTCAGCATTCTTCAACTGACTGTTTATTTCAAAGATTGGATTGAATTCCTGCAAAGTATGGAATGGTGCTAAAAAGCTAGATAGTGATGAAGCCAATGGATTTTGTCTACAATAAGTGGTCAAGTATAGATGTGTCCGTGGCGAGTGTAGCGTAGTTATTAGAGGCGTCCCGCAGTGCTTATGGGTTCGATCCCACACCCCGGCCCTACCAAGCCTTCCGACCCTCTGGGGCACCGTTAACAACTGTATCGGCCTCAGTCATAGTGTTTACATTCAGACACCTCTAACGGTACCTGATTATGTACAATACATGGTGTGCCTCTCAGAGATTGATCAACGCCAAGGGTTTTATCCTTTATCCTTTTTAACAAGCACGGCCTACCTAGAAATCTCGCGGACGGATATATTCACTGTAGAACAACTATGTAGCTTTTCACTTACCATCGATAATACCAAATCATAGAGGAATGTGAAAAGCCGCACAAGATCACCAAAACTGTTGACCATCGCGCTAAATTGGAGGCACTTCTAAAAGAACAAGCGTATACGTGTAGAAGAGCGATTATTTTGCTACCCTTCTTTTGCTGACAACATTGTGGTGCTTCCGAGCACTAGCAGAGAAACAACGAAAACTGGTGCTGAGCTCATTTCAGTGAAGCAGATAAAAA